TTGTCTCATGAGAGCTGGAGAAATTACTTGTATTTTTATGCTTGTGCATCTACATAGGCTCACTATTTGGATGGTTAAAGTACAAGGTACGGAGACTGTATAACGCTTGTGATGACACCATGTATAAATAATTATTGGTTTATTACTTACATATCCTTTCACGGCCTTATTATATAAAACGACTATAACTAGCATACTTCAGCCCCGTTGAGGAAAAACTGATACAAATATACATCTGTCATTCAGAACACAAAAAGGCATATATTACGACGTGGATATAGAGGTACTTCATTCGGGTCTAAGAAACTCAATTGATGGAAGCACTTCAATAAAATAAGACTCAATACTTTGAATCGGAAAGTTTTGCTGCGATGCCATTGTTTTGTTTCCGATGAGAAGGAAACTAAAGAAATCTGCCTGTGCTAGTTGGTAATGAACTGCTAAGCCCAAGGTCTTTCGCTAGAGTTCTAGCCAAACAAGAGTATTTTTTGTCACTGCTTTTGCTGAGACTTTTATGTTTGGATTAGATTTGCTTACTATAGAGTTTCTAAACACGTGAATATTTTAATTATTAACAAATTTTATCTGCAATGGTTAACAATGAATCGGTATTATATCATCGTACAATGTGTCTCTCCCTGTCTTCTACCCTTTCGTATATTAAAAGGTCTAACATTAAGTTATGCAATTATGTTTTAGTAATAATTATACCTACATTATAATGGGACTTATTACATAATGACTAACATTTACTGTAAGTTTATTTTAACCAATGTCTTTGAGAAATAACAGATATAAAGTTTACGTAGAAACCTGCTTGAGTTAATTTTGTTGAATGCGGTATCGTTTCGCCGTCCGTGTACTAATTACTTGCTGATGCAAACCCCTCCTTATGCGTCCCCCTTTAACGGTAAATAGGTTTCGATCTATTGTCACCCGAATACGCAGTGCGTACTCTCATTAACCCGTAGATTTGTACTGACTTCGACTTTGCTGTTGAAGACTTCATTTTGGGTACATTTGAGTATATGAGCCTGACGCAGGACAGCAGAAAGATCGCTAAGATATAGGGCATGGTCCTGTTGTTTTCATTTTGTAGCTTTTTATTTGCCAGGTGTACTATAGTTATTATCAGAATAAAATATAATTATAAATTTCATCATGAATAAACACTATTTCGTGAATTCGCAGTCGTGGCGGTTCGAAGGTTTAAGACTATATCTTCTAAAAGACGATGCGGTTTTGAAACCTTCTAACTACAAGTACTAATGTAACTTTTTCCGAGTTATATGTACACTTTTTAAGATTATTTAGATACCACCGACAAACGGTGAAGGAAAACGTCGTGAGGAAACCTGGACTAATAATTTCTAATTATAAGTTTGATATCGCCAACCCGCATTGAGCACGCGTGGTGTTTGATGCTCAAACCTTCCCCGTGTAAGAAGAGGCTTTGCTGAGCAGTAGACACTTAGAAGCTGCTTATGATGATGATGAAATATTTTTTCCTCCTCGCTAGAACTGAAAAGCTTAATGTGACGTTTCTATGTGATTGTATCTCGTAGATACATATTGTGAATACGTATATTGTGATTCATGTTGACCCACTACAAATCAGTCAACACTCCGATTAGTGTGTGCGGCGTGATGCTATTGTCATGTTGATACATTACGTGACACGTACAATTTGACAATTACCCGCAAGCTATCTCAATAGTTGATAGTTACGATAGCAGTAATAGCTGTAGCGATGTGATGGCAAGAATTTTGGTAACTGCAATAGGGATGTGTAACTGTGTACAGGCAATTATCATTTCGTACATAATTTTGACACAGGTCTTGACTTCAGCATTAAACAGTGAAAAGCGTGTTTTTAATTAACATAGAAACGGCTGATAGAAACATGCTCTTTCCTAGTTCTGTAATAAGTCCTATTTAATAGAGAGAAATCTAGAACAAGCGCCGCAAGTGGGGATCCCACATGCTCTGAAGGGGTTCCGACCACATACATAGCCGTCCTCGGCATGCATTTTTTTTATGTCTGCCTGGTGATGTATGGTATGATGCCTGGCATCGCACCGTACTGGCAGAAGTGACGAACATCGATATGACGTGGAACGAGGTGAAGCGTGAAACTCAAGACAGATCGCAACGGAGAACTTCAGTGGACGCCCTCTGCCCCATCTAGTGGATACAGGGTATTAAGTTAACTAAGACAATAGAGAGGAAACTATTTCCATAAAAACAATCGTGATTTCAGACTCTATACTATTTATTGAAATAATTTTGAAAACCTCTAGACACTTTACCTAATCCGGGAATTGAAATCAGGACCCTCTTTCGAAACTCTTATTTACAACACAACCAACAAGCCAGTCAATTCACTTATCACGCCCATCAAAATCACATTAAATCGTGCACAATCATTATTGTAAACTCAATGAGTCATCAACATACTTACTGGACATGGAATGTGAAATCCCCGAAGTATATTATGACGTAACCGCCCCTTGGTAAGGAAAGGGGTAGTATATATGATATACAATATATATATATATATGATATAATATATATTATATTGTCTTACGGGTATCGTTGGGCAGGCGGTTAATGTGCTATTAGTACTTTAGATCGCAAATTTTGGTTTGCTCTGGAGATAATTTAGTGTGTTTAATTTGGGGTAGGCCTATGTTCAGCAGTGCACGTTTTGTGGCTGATACGTTGATCATGATGATGGTTTTTTTATAGCATAAGCCAGTAAGCGAGCAGACGGATCATTTGATGGTAAGCAATTGGCGTCGCCTATGGATACCTGGAACACCAGAGGCGTTACAAGCGCGTTACCGGCCTTTTGGGGATTAGGAGTTTGAGGATCGTTGGGGATTCAGGGATTGGGGAGATTGGGGAGGGTAATTGGGCCTCCGGTAACCTCACTCACACGACGAAACACAACGCAAGCGATGCTTCACGTCAATTTTCTGTGAGGCCGTGGTATCACTCCGGTCGAGCTGGCCCATTCGTGCTGAAGCATGGCTCTCCCACACTTAAATGGTGTTCGGATGTTTATCCTTATTTGGTTTTTTATTATTATAACAAAGAATGGTTCGAAGAAAAAGTTATTTTAGTTATAAGATATTGTAATCAAAATTTGTGTTATTAATGGTCATGTTCAATCGCCATCTATTGCAATGGTCCTGTCATTAGCCAGAATAAGGAGATCAAAGGATGTGAAGTTATGATAATCTCAGAAAACCTAGATCTAGATCCGTTTCATGGATTCGCAAAAAGTACCTTAGTCTTAAAATAAACTTCTTGAAAACTTAATTTTAGATTAGCTATAATTAGTTTTTCAAGACAGATACTAATTGAAATAATTAAATTAAAGAGTTTTGATGTTATTAAGACCTTAATAATATTTTACCTTAGTGTTGTACGTCTTAGTTAAAATTTATGTAATGAAATCGTTTCTCGCGTACAACCTAAATTGTTTAGGTAGATGATAATATCGTGGAAAAATAAAGGAATTGTTGGATTACCAAGTACTTACATAAGACGAGGAAAAGGATTAATTTATAGATAAGCCGGGGATTTAGAATGGTTTTTATATATACTTGTTAAAATCCGTTACTGGACTATGGGTACATTATAGAGATTGCCATAATTTACACGCCTAAAACACTACCTTAAATTATCTATACAGATAAAAAAATGGTTGCCTGTAAAGTCGTTTTACGGGCGAAGATTTTACGTGACAACGTCTTTTTCTCGGTAGAATATTTATTGATATGAATATAATTAAATTGCACAATAGGAACAAGGAATTGAATGAACTAGTGCTGCGCGCGCGGCAGACCGATCATAGTTAAGGCATTCGGCGGGCCTCTCTCTCGTTCGGTGACTCATCGTAACGTTACCGAGCGTTACACTTTTTCATAAGTGACTCCCAGCCGCAACCTAATTTAAGACGTTGTCACGTCAAAAAATTAGAGTATCTGTTCGTAATATTGAAATAATACCTTTTCACTATATGCACATGGTTTTAAATACGATATACATACCAAAATAACACGTTTTACAATTTTCATCTGTCTGTGTTTGTATTGGTTAATATTTGAAATTGCTGGACCGATTTTGACGGGACTTTTATTGGTAGATAAGTAATATACTAAGGAGTAAAAACGCTACTTTATTTTGGAAACACTCAAACGAAGTTGCGGGTTCAGGTAGTTTGAGAATATAAATACATTAATATAAAGCCGTAAAAGGTTTCGTAAAGATCTACAACAAAACGTTGGTAGTTATTAGAATCATATTTTGAATTATTCATGTAGGTACGAAGTAAATTGAATACAAGAGCGAATTCGTTTATATTATCTCAGTTATAAAATACACAGGCTTCGTGTTACGCTTTTCCAATGCTAATTGTAATTAATATTTTATTATTTGAAACCATTAAAACGCTGTTCGTTCTCTAACGAGTGGCTATAGAAACGGTATGTCGTTTCTCCAACAATATAAAGTTCGAAATGCGATAAAGCCTCCAGGCAGGTGAGAGCAAATCATTTAAGTAATCCAATATAACGCGAGTATAAAATTACTTAACATGTTACCGAGCTAATTAACTGGAAACGTGGTCTGAGCTTTATTAAACTTTACTGTGTCAAAATAAACTTCGGTTAACGTACACGTACCGTAAATCCAAGATTAGACATCGCGACTACAATATACAGCATGTTTCTTTTTATCAAAACCCTACAGCTGTGCATAAAAAAGGCTTTTCCACAAAAGATATACGATCACAGCGACACCGCACGGCTACGGCAAAAAACATAATCCTTAAAACAAAGAGCTCTCTAGAACTACTCATTCTTCACATTTCATTTGATATCAATCACGGCTTACAAAGTCTCGGTGGCGCTCGGCAATGGTCGGCCAAGTTCGGAACTTGAGTTCGTAGCGGCTGTATTCCAGTTTATCTACTCTGCTACGGGGATCGCACGTGCCGGCGTAGAGCGTGGCGTAGCAGCGTAGCGGGAGGTTCGAGCGTACTACGAGAATCGAGGTTGCGTAGTGAAGTGACTTTAACTTTTGTGGTGAACGCTTCAAGTGAAAATTACGAGTATGTACGTGAAATTGTGAGTTAATTGAAGGATTAACACTGAGTTGTTTTAGTTCCCATCTGTGATTGTTACATGGTTAGTATCTGTTTGTCGTTACTTTTAAGCGTTTACGGTCATTAATTTAAATGAACGGTTCCTGATTTTTACGCTTTCTAGTTTGTTTTATGGTGAAACTCTAAATTGGTGTTTGGGAATTTATCGAAAAACGGTGTTTATTTGAACAAAATTAATCTTGTCCAATTACTGTTTTATAACAACTTAGATCTGAAAATAACTTGTGATTTAATTTTGTTTTCCTTTTACATTTTTATCATAGCGGGTGACTGAAAGGATTTATCATGTAAAGTACTTTAAATTATATTTAAATTTCATTTAAATTACATACATTCTTTTGAAGCAATGTATTGAAAAAGGAACTTTTGCATATTTTAATTTAGAAGATATTATAATTTTCCTGTATCTAAATATATCATCAAAGTATGATATTACCATTATTGTATCGGTCCCTTTTATATGGAACATGAAAGGATTTTTACATAACATTTATTTTGCCTCGCAGAAAGGTTGCTTTTGTGGATAAAAATATTAAATTGTTGTTCCACTTTTTGAAAGATACACCCTATATGTGACAATTTAAAAAAAATAATTACGATAATAATATGGTTTGGAAACTTAACAAAATCATGGATTCTTTTAAAGAAGTGAACAACTTGAGTGTTAAGTGATAGGTTTTATTATTATCAACAATTTAATGCAAAAAAAAAACTAAACCCTGGAGCGGCGGGGGTGTACAATTAAATACCAATTAAATACAAACATTCTGTCTACATATTTCAGACAAAAACGAGTTTTGTTCCTCTTCTAGTTCGATATTTAAACAAATATCACGTTTTACGTGACGTCATTGTCATAAAATTCTGTGTGATTGATACTTACATTACTACTTTTGATTTGGATTATTATCAATAAACAAATTATATTTATATTTCATGGTTTGTCACAGATCTTAATTATGACAGAGTAATACTGCTAATTTTACGCCTAGGTTAGACTTCATAGACACATATAATTTATTATGTTATTGAGAGTCTGGAGCTGCAAGTAATTACCACATATTAATGTTTTATAAAGTTTTCATACATTTTACTCAGTATGGTAGGCAGATACAAAAAACTCATACCAAAACGTAGGTCTTGAATTCTCTCAGTTTTAATGTGAAAATAACACCTTATATACGTGTGCATCCACGTATGGGGCCCAACAGGGCTGATGCCGATTCAGAGTCGCGGAGAACCTAACGGGTTACCAGGGCTCCGGCTCGATGTGCAGGAGAAGAAACGGGGTGGTTTTTAGTCAGTAAGAGTCTGACACGCCGTCCCGCCTCACCCAGGCGGGAGAAGTAATTCGATGATTTTTCCCTTAAAAAAAAAAATACACGTGTGCATATTCTAAGTATGTTTGTTACTCCTTCATGCAAAAACGGCTGAAGGGATCGGAATGAAACTAGGAATTGGTGTAGATTATATTCCGGAATAACACATAGGCTATTTTGGAACTCACGGGAACGCGAGCGAAGCAGCTGGCAGAAGCTAGTTTATGATCACGCATAGGTATACAATAACAGTCTATGACAGTGAACTACTAGCTTACGGATCTTCTCTACTGAAGAAGATTTGCCATAATCTCTACTCTTCAAAGGCGTGTTAGAGATCACAGTTCAGAAAGTTAATTTTTATCACTGAGTACGTTCAGAGTCAAATTTTAATCGGCTGTTTTGACACCCGCGGGCAAACTAGGGTTAGAGACAAAATGCATTCTACTGCACTGATCGCCTCGTTTGATTTCCAGTTTCGGGTTCGATTCCCAAGCCGGACAAAGTACTAGTAGGTTGTAAAAAAATGTCAGTAGTCGTACGCAGTCTGGAAATGTGCCAAGTATATGGGAATAGGCTCACCCCCTATTACATGGTACTCATAACATAAATAGTGAAAAGTTACATTGTAGAGTGGCATTAAGTGCCGTAATGTGCATCTCTGCCTACCCCTTCTGGGATAAGGTGGTGATGTTATGTTATGTATTTTGCCCTACCATCAACATACGGCATAAGACATAAATACAAACAAACCTACCGTCAAATATTTAACATGTACTTTTTACACGTTACAAATTTTCAGTCTCCTCTCTAGATCTATTGTTCGTCGTCTTCGAAGCCTCTTTTATCTTATTTCCCCCTTGAGATAAGTAATTTGTTCGTGATGTCACTGTTTGTTAACTTCACCGAGACATTTGACAACGTACTTTATTTCTTTTCTTCGTTATCGACTGCGACGTTTGTAGGACAGAGTTCAAGTTTAAACGAAAACCTTTCGTTCTTTTGGTTTTTAATCATGTATGGAAATGACAGTAATTTATAATCCCCTGTTCCTTTTTTCCCCTTTCTGCCTCGTGGTTCTTCGTATTCGAATGATTAGTCGCGATGCGTAGTGTGTGGAGATGTTTAATGAAAACCTAATTTAGGGGTTAATTAGAGGGTATGCAAAGTTGATATTTATTTGTATTAAGGTCAAACCTCTAACGAGTTGAAACTGTAAAGCTATGCTGGTCTACTGATTATATAATTATCTTAATGAAAATTATAGTTAGGTAATAGTACCAAGAATAGGAAAATCATAGGATTTTCCCATAATCATCCTGTGACTTTTACTCTGCTGGGCCAACTCCTCTTGTCACATGGAGAAGGTTTGAGAATTAATCACTACGCTTGCTTAAGGTGGATCGGAGATTGAAGTCATTTGAAATAATAAGTCCAGTTTTTAATCTAGCCGCAGTAGCCAAGGCATTTATTACTATACTTTAAACGGTATTTAATGAAATAAGTAAATACAACATAAACGTTTTCCGAACTAACCGAATTAAATACGAACTCGGATCGCCTTCACGTTGCACGTTGCATAAAATCGGAATCATTTCAATTTGGATTATACCTATTAGCTGAGGATCGAATGGGAACTGCAATAAGACTAATTACAACCGATGACTGTTAAAATAATTAGCACTGGAATTGGGTTTCAGTGTAAAGCCTTTTACTCGTTATACTAAGGTTGTTTATATGTATGTTGTTCGAGAGGTCCCCAGTTCGACATTTGGTCTTTTATTCCTGTTTTTTAAACGTCTCATGTAGGTAATCTATATGTGTGCCCCGAACGTTGTTATCTTTCAGTTACTGAACATGGTCGAAAAAGCTTCTTATAAAATACTTAGTACAATGAAATCATATAAATTAATACTTTTTACGAATACCTAAACTATATAATAATAGTCTCATTAATCTACGCTTCAACATATTAATCACATATGAATAAATATCTTAAATCCTCTCTTAGAACATAAAATCTCCAGTAACATGAAACAAAAAACATTCAGCTTCCTAACACGGCCAGAACATTGCTTTAACTCCAATCGTACGAGAAACTACTTACAATGTAATCAGAGATAATTAACTAGCCTCACTGCGTTCTACATAAATCTTTTCTCTTTCCTTTATCTTAATTGTCTTACGTATGCGTTTTCCGAAAAGATAAAAGATATAATGAATCCGCAAAGAAGCCAAAATGCGGATTTTGATATAGCAAATTGAAGCTTTTGTTTAGTTGATAATGAGCACATATTTGCGTGGCGTTAGGAGAGAATAAAGCTTTTAAATTGTATATCATTAGCCACTTGATTAAGTGGTAATTTTGTTCTTGTGATATAAATTACAGAGGTCTGGGTGTGATGTAAATGTGAGAGTGTTAAGTAACCGCTATATGGGAAAGGACAAAATTGAACAAGAAATTACTTTAACAAATTCAAATACTGAAAAGGTGAGAATACGTTACGTTAAAGGTGTTAGGGGATAGCAAATGGTTAAGACTGGGTGCTATCCTCAACCTACCTTAGAAAAGCCTATTACACATGACATATGATATGAATGAAATCCAACCCTGGCCAAGCGACTAACCTAACCTTGGGTGACCCGTATCCGTACTCATTGGTACATTCGTTGATATAATGTAATTGAACTTCTATTATATGAAAATAAAATTCCTCTTTTGCTTGTTTACTTGCATTATTAATGTAACAAACGTAAGAAACAACAACAAAAGCATTCCAATAAAAAAATACTAAACTATACCTACTGATATACAGGAAAATAACTGGAAGATCACCACTAAAAATATTTACCTCAATATAAAGTAAACTTCAGTCTCATTTATTCATTACAGGCTACCTATAGACACGATTTAGTTAGCACTTCAAAGAAACTGCCACTCGATATCAGTATTTCCAATTTACTGTTAAATAATGATTAATTTTAGATTACAAAAGTTCAGTCTCATCGGGATTTTACCGGTAAATTATATCCCTTTTACTTGGGACATAATTATTTGGGAAATCCTGGCGTTACAAAACTCACCTGACCTTTTAGAAGGCCCTACACGTTTTGGGTCATATTTTAAAAAAACATTAACTTACAAAGGGAAATAAAAATGTGGGAGGATGATCTACTGAAGAGAGACAGCTGTAGGTCGACGTAGTGGAAAGGCCGAATCTGGTAAGTATTGGATAACTTTGAAGAACCAAATAAAAAGTAGTCAAATTAATTAATATTCACTGTTGACCAGAGTGATACCACGACCTCACAGAAAAACGACGTGAAACCACGCTTGCGTTGGCTTTCGTCGTGTGGGTGACGTTACCGGAGGCCCAATTTATGAGTCACTAACAATCCTAAGAATTAGGAATTTGATTCCTAATTCCGAAAAGGTCAGGAACACACTTGTAACGCCTCTGGTGTTCCAGGTACTTACCATCAGGTGATCCGTACGCTCATTTATCGACTTATCGCTTAAAAAATACCAAATTATTTGTTTTTACAGTTTCTGTGTGTCTGTCTATTTGTTTTGGCTAATTTCTGAAACGACTGCACCGATTTTAACGAGACTTATTGGTAGTTAGCGTATGTCCTAAGGAGTAACTTAGGCTACTTTTTTCACGTGGATGAAGTTGCGCGCTTTAGCTAGTTCTTAAAAAATATTAACATTTTGGATGACTGACACTAATGTATCAGTAGTATAATAAAATTAGTTATAGGTATGCATATCTAGAGATACTTTGACTGCTTTGACTGAAAAGTCGTATGTTCTATTCGAATTCGGATCGAACAGTCTTATAAGTTAATGTACTATTCTATCATATGAGACATAAGTGGTCCAAATTAGTGTTACCTACATTTTGTATGAATATTTCTACTTAACTCTTTTAAGAATTAAAGGATTTGTTATGTACGCATTACACATTTTGTTCTGTCTTAAAACTTGTATGGACCACCTAAGATCAGGTAATACAGACGCTTTTTTATTATTCTTATCTGGCAAAAGTACGGGATTCCATTTAAAATAGAAAGGTGGCGTTGGTCGCTAGGTTATTAGGTCGGCCGCGGCTACAATACAACTCATTTCCTCGTCGACTCGCAACTTCGTTTATGATAAGCAACTAGTTGATATGCTAGATAGATTCATGATGTCACGTGTTACCTAGACAAAGCAGATTCACTAAAAATGTTTGTGTGGTAATGCCGATAGTTCCTAAACAATATTTTAATTATGATTTCTAGAGGTGAAAAACAAATTATTATCTTTTTTATAAACCTTTAGGACGTGTCTATTTGTTTAATAGGGAGAGACTGAAATATGTCTATGAACATTTACAGCTTGATTATAACAGAATATTGTTAGCATTTAGTCCACTTGTACACTATATTGTAAATATATGATGAGAAGTATAAAAATAAAGGTGTAACGAACACACAGCTCCATCTAGTATAATTTATCCAAAACAACCACAACTACAAACAACTAATATGAAGATTGAGCACACATGCAAACCATCCGCCTTTATAAGCAGAGTGTTTTCGAACAAATTATCATTTTACTAGCTAGAGGATCAGAGTTCGGTTGCTTTGCAGCCTTCTCTGAACGTAAGTACGACTAACTCCAGTTCGATATCCTAGCGGTCTTCTGGAATTAGCCAGCTAGTGGTCCTCCCGTGGCTATCGTGTATCATAAGTATAATATGATACACGATAGCCTCTTCTCTTTTCTCTCTTTCATCCCTCCACTTAGGGTTGCAATTATCTTGATTAGTTTGTAGTAAATTGATGTAACAGTGAAGTTGCCAAGAAATAAATAATCATCAAGTACACCGGGGCTTTAATATCACTACCAGCAACCCTACATTGGCGCCCAACGGTTCATTCATTTAAAGCAATTTAGAAACGAAATGTGTGTCTTATTCAAGAACCTTGTTCAAGATTATGACATAAAGGAAAAATATAGTCCCTGTTCTAATAGTACCATCAGATTAGATTTCAAAACCAGCTAACCATTCTGTTGGCTAGGATGTGTAGCAATTGAGCAACATGTGCGTGAAATGGCCACCTCTATAGTTTGTTCTCTACACACGCTATTTCGGTTTGACCTTTTTGGTAACTGGTTGTGCACCAATGAACGCACCAGTTTAATTTTTTTCGCATCGAGAACGATAGAACTTGATTCATATGTGTTTTTTTTTAACTCGATTACCTAAGTATTTCTATGTTATGAGGACAATGACTTTGTACTATGTAACTGATATTTTAATATGTAGCTATTTGAATATGACCGAGTGTTTCGTGGAAGTTATACAATATTTCATTTCGATCACAATATTTTGTTTGATGTCTATTAATTTTCCAAGAGTCACGCAGAACGATAATTTAACTAGGTTCAATGACTTTTTTGTAGCTGTATTGTCCTTATCTGTGTAATTGTATTTTTTACGTACCAAACATGTTGAGCTGTCTTGAAAGATTCGTACTATGTAAATCTGGAACGCCTCAGTTAGGTTTTGCCTGAAACCATCGACATTTAGATTTAGCTTCCATATTATCTTTATCATCAATCTTCTTTAAATCATCCCATACAATTAATCTACCACAAGCGTAAGATCTCAACTATACGACACGCGTCTTAGCGGTTATCTTCAAAATGACTTGCGTTTTATCATGTAATCGTTTATAGATTAGCGGTACCAAGGCAACATATCCGCTATCACTTTACTTGGCAACAAAACACCGGTAAGTTAAGCTACTAGAGACCCTCACGAGTATACTTAAACGAACATTAAGCCGTTAATTAATTAAGTTAACATTAGACAAAGTTTTAGTTGGAATTTCTAACATACATTACTTTACCTCTGCAGTGTTTCTGTTCGGGTATTTTATGCCTAAGCCTTTTATGTCCAATATATTTCAATGATGGTGTTAGATTTTATTTATTAGTTGTTACAACATTGGTTTTTGATAAATGTTTTCATTAATTAATTTTATTATTAATACCAAAATGGTTGTTAAATTACATTTACAATCTTTAAAATTGTAAATAGGTGGTTAATACAGTCATTGGATTATCGCGTTTACATAACATTTAGGTTATTTCAAAGCTAACGTGTTTGACTACAATTAAACAATGTAAATTAAACCTTTGAACTGTTTGTACACATTCAGTAAAATGTAGCGATAAATTGATCATTCGCGTATGAGGAAACTCTTTGATTTTGCAAAAATATTTATGAAAAATATCAGTGGAGTGCTCGCTTGCTGCCGGTCTATAGAATAGCCCCCTAGGGCGTGTAATATCCATGAAATATGCGTTTGTCCGAGCACAAAGCAACAGGGCTGCCGGCGGGGTTTGTATTCACAGAGAAATTCCAAATATTTCAATAACATGCAACTAAACTGCGTATTTTATTAAAACCAAACAGGCAATAGTGCATAATGGAATTACGAACTGTTTCTCTGAAACGTATTTGGCGGACAATATTAAAGAGCAACGAAAAAAAAAAACAAAACTGGTTTTTTGTGCAACAATTTTCGATAACGTGCAAAGAAATTGCCTATTTGGTTCGCTAAATAGGTAATGTTATATGCAATCTTTAGGTTAAAAAGTTGAATTAAAAAAGAATATAATATATATTATATTGTTCTACAAGCATTTTCAAAACAAGTTTCTGCTTAGTTAACGTACTATGTCGCGTTTCATTAAAGTTTTTTCATTTGTACAAAACTTTAATTTGAACGTAATCGTATGATACAGCTACAGCAATTTGATGGAAAGTTTTTTAATGCAATAATGACTTGTCTAGACTTGTTACTGTTACGCTGTCCACTAGCTGGATTCTGTTAAAAGTTTAGATATTTTCAGGGTGCCATTCATTTTATTTTTGTACCATTTTATAGTAAGAAATAAAGAAATAAATATTTTTTAATCTATAGCATATCTAGAGTGCGTTTAATTTTACTACAAAGTAAGCCTCAACACTTAAATAATATACTATCAGCACCTTCTATACACAGCACTACGGACAGAGCTTCATGAAGTATTGCAGTGGTCACTATATAGTGGTGCAGTAGCATTGGTATCTTGTGGATAAACTTGGTGGGTTACCCAATATTACCCATAGAGTGGTTGATTATACTGAGCTATTTGACCACGCGTAACTGTGCGGTACACCGCATATTGCGGTAGCAGTTTTCGAGGGTTTCACCTCCAGAAACGTATAGGCTACAAAATACCGAGAAAAGCATGATTTTACATGATTTGCTGTAGTATTTTATAATTGTAATATTTACATAACATACATACATAACATCACGCCTTTTATCCCGAAGGGGTAGGCAGAGGTGCACATTATGCCACTGTACAATGTAACACCCACTTTTCACTATTTATGTTTGTAATATTTATTATAATTTTAATGAAAGATTTTTTGGAATAGTACATTGCGTCTAATAATAATTAGGAATTTTAAATTACTATTGTTTTTGAGAATTCTCGTTCGTTCCGATCTGTATAACAGCTATAATCTCGACTATATGAACCAACAGAAAATGCCTAAAGCTCTAATCACCATCACCTCTGTACATACTGCCTTCATGCATTAAAAATATAAATTAAATTGTCTGACTAACACCGCGAGGACACTGGTGACCGCAACCTTTAAATTTCAAACTTTAATTGTGTCTATATTGACGGTACTCAAAGAGTTAACCAAAAAATCAGGGGTTATGTGCATATACTAAGAAAAGCTCTGCTAGGCTGGCTGTAGGCTGCGCGACATCGCCGCGACCGCGCACGCTGCTCATGAGGAAGAATTCCTCAGTGGTTCGAAACTAGTAGAGCTTTTCTCAGTATATACACGTGAGCAACCCGCGATTTTTAGTTAATTTAGTATGTCTCACGATAGTTATTACAAAAATATATTAATACACACAATATAACACAAACCAATTAACTCTCATTCAGATACAAGAAGAAAATCTACGAACGATGCAGTGGTGGTTCATCTAACACACAATCCACATGAGACATCATAGCTTGTGTTGTAAGTATATTTCCTTCAAAGTCAGCCAATCCATTTCGTAAGCAGGTAAAAAAATGAAAATTGATTCAGTACAAAGAAAAATGATTACGTAGTTGAGTTGAGACATGGCTTAACAAAAAAATACAAAATGGGACCATCTCGGGAGTATACCCTTTCAAACAAAACAAGAATTTTGGAAATCGGTTCACAAATGGCGGAGTACTGCGCGAACAAACAAAAAAAAAAAAACAATCAGCCGAACATAGTACCTCCTCCTTTTTTTGAAGTCGGTAAAAATTATAGTTAAAAATACATACTCATACGCACGTGTACTGTTCGAGAAATGCTCTACTAGTTTCGAGTTATACTGGGTCTCTTACTCATGAGGAGCGTGTACAGCACGACGATGACGTCACGCGACTGCGTGATGCGTGTGACAGATTAGATGACTATCTAATCTTACTCATGAATAGGAGACCCTAGGAGACCTACTTTGATTTAGCAGTGTCTTTAAATATTAAATTTTGTCTTACGATGGTAAACACAGAAATAGCATAAAATTTATGATAACAACTGTCTCCGTACAGAATCAATTTTAATTTTCTTGTCTCCTTACTAAATTACTTGGCTGACTGTATCACAGTACTCTGTACCTCTACATAACACGTATTCATGTTAAATTCCTTTGTTAAGTACACTATCTACGAACAATGTGTAAAGTTTACCTGTTCAAGTTTAGCTACCCTATTATTGTAATTGTGCACGTCTTCATACTGAATCTGGTTGTGTTTTAGAATCGTTAATGAATGGAACTGAGTAAGTAACATTTAATGAACGTTTGTGCCGTTTGTCCAAGATATTATGTAAGTGTGTGTGTAATGTGTTTGAATTGAGTGTGCATGACTGTTTTTTTTTCGTCCATTTTCATCTGCAGTCAGTCATCGACTCCTATCAGATGTGTTCTGCACTTTATGTTGACTTTAGTTGGGCTTCTCATTGGACGACTCCACCCTTATGTCCTCATCTGATATTCAGTTGCTGAATGCTTTAGGCGTGTGGTACATGAGTGTGGCGATGATTGTGTAGTTGTAAGAAATTTTTTTGTCTAGTGGTGGTGAGTGATTGGTCAGCGCCACTGGGTTAAAAATTATGGTAGTTGGTTGTACTACTGTTAGATATAATTAGGTTATTTAGGTTTTAGCGGTCAGTTGTAATAATACTCTGGTATAATGTGGTTCAATTAACAGCCTATAAATGCCCACTGCTGAGCAAAGCCTCTTCTTACACAGAGAAGGTTAGAGCATTAATCACCACGCTTGCTCAATGCGGGTTGGCGATTACAGACTTATAATTAGAAATTATAAGCCCAGGTTTCCTTACGATGTTTTCCTTCACCGTTTGTCAGTGGTGTCTAAATAATCTTAGAAAGAACATATAACTCGGAAAAAGTCATATAATGTGGTTATTAGATAGAAATTATGTTTGTATTTTAATGCCACTCTAGTGTATAATGAGATTTTTAAGTTCAATTTAGTCACATAACACGACATAATATCACGCCTTCCCGAAAGGGTAGGCAGAGCACTTAATGCCACTGTAAATGAAATAGCCACTTTTCACTATTTATACTATGAGTCCCGTGTAATATAAATCGAGTCGATAGAAACAAAAATATATATTTAAAGATTATCCACGCTTGTATAGAGTTTAGATCTCCACGTAATCTATCTTACAACGGGTTTCCAAACATCTGCCAAAACAGATAATATTGTTTTTAATTAGATCTAAGTATGTTTACATGTTTCGTTTGTGTACAAGAGTATAATATTAATAATTTCTTCGGTTCCTTGAAAACGAACAGGAAAACTGTATTTGTGATTTTGATAACACACCATTACATTTGTGTTGCCCTAAAGGAATATACATAGACGTAAAATGTATTTAATTTTTATTTTATGCAAAAGGAACTCTTTGCTGAAACAGAACTGTTTTTAAAAATCGAATAAAAAATACTTAGGTAGATTTTTTAAATACCTTAAGATTCGTCAATATGTTTTGCCTTCCCAATCTTGAACAGAATACCTTTTCTCCTAATCCTTAAGAAAGTACAAAAAGTGTTCTTCGATCCAAACTTCAGGTAACCTTTTAAACCCCTTAACAACCTAATAAAAAAGAAAAATGTTCCACACTTCTACATTTCCATACTTCTGCGTCGTTCCAAATAAAGTTTTGTACAAAAGCATATTCTAAAACTCTTCGAAATTGTCATACACGCATAATGGGAACCGCTTGAAGCTACAATAGGCCATTTATGCTCCATTTGAACATTGTAAAGCAATTGTCTATTTTGAAAGCGCTTGACAGCGCGGCAATGATACGTCTTGGCAAAACTTTTGAAGGCTGCGTGAAATCGATTCTTGACATTGAGTGTTTGTTTGGTAAATATTGACTTGAATTTCGATGTTTCGAGTTAAAGTAGGATGTAAAACGTGTCGTGAGATAATAATGTCACTGAGACACATTTTAGCCAACTTAACTAACATTGGATTCATCACTACACAGTATAAAACAAAGTTACTATCCGCCATCTATCTGTCCTTATATATGCTTAGATCTTTAAAATACGTAACGGATTTTGATGCGATTTTTTTTAAATGGATAGAGTAATTCTTAAGTCTTAAGGAACGTTTTATATGTATAATACATGCATATTTTTTTTAAGGGGGGGGAAATCATTGAATGACTCCTCCCGCCTGGGTGAGGCGGGAGGGAGTGTCAGACTCTTACTGACTAAAAACCATCCCGTTCGTTCTCCTGCACGTCGAGCCGGAGCCCCGGTTACCCGTTAGGTTCTCTGCGACTACACCCATGCGAAGCCGGGGCGGGTCGCTAGTCAGTAATATAATGAAAAACCAAACTAAAATAAACGTTATCATTCTTGTTATCACCTTGTTATCACAAGAGAGGATTTTATTGCAAAAATTGTGCGTATAAAGTTACTGGCAGAAGCCAGCTGGATATAAAGTTATCAATGGTTTTTTTGTTACTTTGTGCTGCATAAGCCAGGGATTAGCGTATGTGTTTTAATCCTGGATATATCCAGAATGGAAGGGACAGCCTATAGCAAAACCCGACCATATCATCAGTACATAATTCTAGATTCCTCTTTAATATAACGCTCGTTGCTTTTTAGCCATTTTTTGTCTGAATATTTTATTGAGTCACTTGGGTAGGTATTAGTTTACGTACGTGTTTACATGACTGACTGCTATAACTGAAATATTTGCCTTTATAATATACCACATCAAGTTTTACTTAGGACTTAGTAATAGAGAAATCAGGTTATAATTTTAGAATAACCATTGAACTGAAACTACATTTATTACCTACTTTTATAATAGAGGTAAAAACAGGTTGCAGTTTTTATTGCCGTACAAACTATGACAACTTTCATTCCCAGAAAAGATGATAAGTACACAAAACGATTCTTTCATACCAGTCTGTTAATTAAAAATAAGTCTTAGCCCATTCTTTGGACGGGCGTCAGTCGACCGCCAGCGTCTCATTTCCTAGTTCCGGTACAACACTATGTGTGCCTGCACCTCCCTACCTCTCCGCTAGGGGGCGCCTCTCAACGTCCTTGAGCCCTCGTATTACGCGACAGAGTAATATAAGTAATGTGTCAGATGTTTTCAGCTATTTACGATCAATAACTTTTGTGGCAATGCTGGCAGATTTTAAATAGGAATATTTTCTTGTTAGCTTTATTAGGTACGGTATAAGAATTTGTTGAAGGTTGATAAGTTCGGTTATAACGTATATAAATTCACAAGATGGCCGTAACTGAACATGAACAAAACATCCCCCAATGACTTTCACATCGGTTGGTTATTGCGCACGTTGTCAGAGGCAAACTTTTTTTGCCTAATTTACCCCATAAGAGATACGGAAAAAACTAAAATGGTTTACAGAATATTGTTACAACATTCATAACAAAAAAAAAATCACAATCAGTTTGCGAAACATCAAAAAAGTATCTTAATGGTTCTAAATGACGCGTAGAATCTAACGGGTTACCGGGGCTCCGGCTCGAAGTGCAGGAGTAGGCACGGGGTGGTTTTTAGCAGTAAGAGGCTGACACGATACTCCCTCCCACCTCACCCAGGCGGGAGAAGACATTCGATGATTTTACCCCCATAAAAAAATGGTTTTAAATCACTTAATGGTTAACTTATGGTGGTAACTTGTTAAAAATCGGTTATGTTCTCATACTTGTTATAGCAAGGTCATTGAGAAAAAGGCGAACACAGTCCCTCAAATAATGACTGTGGCACCTGGTTACTATAGAGTTACACGCAGAACATAAGAAGGACATCTATTATTTTCTGAAATCTGATAAAGTGGTAACATTACACACACACACATATTATTAAACCAACTACCGAGTGGTACCGCAAGGGCGACTGCCGGGCAAGGGGTCTCGGGTTCGATTCCCCGGTCGAGCAAAGTATTACTAGGTTTTAAAAAAAATCTCAGTCGTAGCACGGAGTCTGAAATTGTGCCTGGTATATGGCAAAACGCTCACTCCCTATTACATGGGACTCATAACATAAATAGTGAAAAGTGGGTGTTACTTATGTGTGCACCTCTGGCTACCCCTTCGGGGATAAAAGACGTGATATTTTTAACGTCCTTATTTTAATGCCCTAAGTTTAACCACCCATAAAATTAATATTGCTATGCAAAGATGATAATAGTGCACAAACAGGCAGGTTCGAGCCCCATTTAGTAAACCTTTACCCTCAATTAATTCTCATGGGAGCGCAAACACCTGACGCATTAAACAACCTTATTCATTTGTGAATAAACGTAAATATTCCCAATTTTGAAAAACATTTAGGCTTCGTACTATAAATAGACAGGTTCATTTTGTTTATTGAAATCATTTTATGTAAAGGTTAAGGTTGATACATTCAATTTGTTCTTGATAAATAAATTCTACTAAAAACGTTCACTGTCTA